GTGTGTGTGTGTGTGTGTGTGTGTGTGTGTGTGTGTGTAATAAAGCTTTAAAGACCATGATAGCAAAGAATATGCATGAATATAATCTGACTTAATTGTCAGCTTCCTCCTCGATGAGTTTGATTATGTGTATCATGTGGCCTGGAGGCAGACAAGGGATTAGGAGAAGATTTCCAGCAGCTTTCGCTGATTTCTGTCTTTACAGTTTGAGAACACCTTCACACTTAGTTAAAGAGCTTCACACGGAAGGTCCTCATCTGTCTTTGATCCTCCCCCATGTCTATCTGTATGTTCCACCATACATCCAAATGTCTTTCTGAAACAGACATTGGCCCAGTTTTTCTCCTTTTTTTAAAGTCTCCCCCTTCTGTGGTCAACCAATTTAAACAACCATGCGCTTGGTTCAGGACCTCCTGTTTCACACCACTGTTCCACTGTACAATGCTGGTTTAAGGATAATGGTGTTCAATGGAGAGAGCATCTTAAACCATATCTCAATAATGGAGAAATTAAACAAAACATGACAGCAATACATATTAGAGATCAGTGTGTGTTTGTGTGAGGCTTCCCGAGAGAGAAAGGCCTCTTCATGCGATGTTACTGTTGTTAAGGAAAGGAGAGATGGTAAACAAATCAGTCGTGTCATATGCCTCTCTGCCTCCTCTCACCAGAGCTTCTGAATAAAAGATAAGCTACACAAGACGTCTCCACCGTCCATCCTGCTGCCTGTTACACCTCCACTTTCAGAAAATGAGAGTTAGATTTTAAGCATCCTTTGGATTAGCCAGCGCCTGGCTAGCACTTAAGCCTCAACCGCCCCCATGATCGCGATTAAAAACTTGTGCCTTCAGCAAGGGTTTAGCACCCAGAGCGGATTTCTAAATCAGTCCCTTTTCCCTCTTTTTTTCCCTTCTGCAGATGATCCAGCTGACCAGCGTACTTGCCTTATCTGTGGAGATCGTGCCACAGGCCTGCACTATGGCATCATCTCTTGTGAGGGCTGCAAGGGCTTCTTTAAGCGCAGCATCTGCAACAAGCGTGTGTACCGCTGCAGCCGCGACAAGAACTGTGAAATGTCACGCAAGCAGCGGAACCGCTGCCAGTACTGCCGTCTGCTCAAGTGTCTGCAAATGGGGATGAACCGCAAAGGTAACGGACACACACAAGACAACACTTCAGTTTTCTTCATAAGCTTTCAGTGCTCCCACCTACAAGAGAAAATGGAAAATGTATTTTGATTATTTGTCACCACTTAACAGCTGAGATGTTCATTCATGGTAAAAGCATATTTTTACTGATGAACCTCCAGGTTTTTCCATGAAAGTGAAACAATTATTTTCAAAGGTTTAATTTTAGTTTCTTCTTACAGACAAGAGCAAAGTATACATGTTACAACAATGAAATGAGAAAATCAACCAAAAGATTATTTACAATATTAATTCAAACAAATATTTTTTGGTCTATAAACAGTTCAAAGTTGAAAAATGTCCTCTTTTATTTATTAGTTCATGATGACATCCTAAAACGTTTTTATGACTATCTTTCATTTCAAGAATATATAGTTTTGTTTGTGTGATAATTTTTTACACAAGCAGTAAATCTCACATTTTGAATCTAGTAAATCTTAAGCTTTTTCCTCTTGAAATGTTTCTTGAATTATTAAAGTGTAGAAACACAATTCCTAACTTTGATTAATTTACTAATGGGTTGTAGCTCCAGTCTTGCAGAATCACATTGTACTTGTTCAAAACTAATTTAACTTCAGCAAAGAAACAATTAAATATTATATTATTATTTTATCAAACGGTCAAAAGTTTAAAACCAGAATGTTTTATTTAATGGGTGTTTTGAAGTGATGCAACTAACTTCAGCAAGATGACACCACCTAACCTGTTGCCCTGCTCCAGCCTGCGTGCAAGGCTCAAATTAATTGGTTTGTTCCAATGAATATTTGTTCTTACAGTTCCTCTGAGCTGCCTAGTCATACACACATTCATACAAGAAGCACTAGTAAGAGTAATGCTATTTGTTCCAATTGCCTATGCCTCCCCCTAGTGGATGAAACTCTTATTTGACTCATTCTCCAAATGTTTAAATTCAGTTCAGCTTGTCTTGTCACATGAAATAGATATACTTAACTCACAGTGTGTAAACAAATAATCCCTATGGAACAGAAAGAGAAATGTTTGCCTGCTTATAGATGGAAGAAAAGCTGTAGTTCAAACTAAAGGGCAAAATCCCCACGTGGATGTACACTGTGCGTGAGGCAGAGCAGTGTTTGATTGATTTCAGCCACTAGGTAGAGCTGTGATACTAATCATGAATCATGTTCTTGTTCATGGAGCAAATGTAAATTCATTCTTTCTTTGTGTCATGTAGCAATCAGGGAGGATGGCATGCCAGGCGGGAGGAACAAAAGCATCGGGCCTGTTCAGGTACATTGCCGACTTCATGTTCAGAAATCACCTAAAATGTTTTCATGACATTCACTAACACTCTCCTTGCTTCCAATCACTCTACATATTACCATGACTCAGTCCTAGAGTTAGCTCGCTTACCATTGAGTGCACAAACTGTTCAATTCAATAAATGGTAAATGGTCTATATTTAAACAGCGCTTTTCTAGTCGGGATCTTTTCAGGCTATTCGTGTTGATTAACTTGCCAAAGATGGGAAGAATGGGATCGAACCACTTACTTTCTGGTTGGAGGACAGCCGCTCTAACGCTCAGCCACAGCTGAGTAGGAGTGCTGCAATGCTAACTATGTGGGTGTAAGCCACATAGTGAGCACTAACCTTGTTATCTCATCAGAATTATCATGGTAGCACTGATAATTTCTTATTCAGCACCAGCTTCATCAGGACAAATGGTCAGGAAAATGGGTGACATGAGGCTAAGTACCACTGAGTCACTATTCAGGGGAGGGACGAGCTCAATTGATTGCAACTCAATTCAGTGAGTAAAAAAACAGAAACCCCAGCTTCTATTAAAATATGGCTTTATTTCTAAACTCTAATGAAACGAGCACCTCTCTGTCATTTATATGGAATGAATTGCTGTTTCAATATAGGTGCTGAATTGATAGAAATGAAAATGAATTGACCCCAGCTACAGATATAAGACAGTACATTTTCCGGACTGTTAATGCTTTGCTGAACAGCTTTTGTCTGTGCTTTCTCCCGGCACGGACATGCAAGGATTCTATTGTTTTAAGTGTGTGTGTGTCTATCAGTCAGTCAAATGCACACACATGCATACACAAACAAGCACTCACCTGTTTGCCTCCTTTTTTTTTTTTCTAGCTCCCTGATCCATTGTGTGATTGTGTCCTTGCTCCTCAACATTGGAGAAGCAGCACAGAGCTAGTCACTGCTAATCCATTAAACTGAAACACAATGTGCCTTTGGTCTTATGAGGATGTCCTATAAGCTCATATTAAAAACCCATCTAAACTCTGTATTTGTGTGTTTCAGATCACGGAGGAGGAGATAGAGCGGATCATGTCAGGGCAGGAGTTCAAGGAGGATGCCCCGGAGCACAACTGGGGCAACAACGGCGACAGCGACCACAGCTCTCCCAGCAACGGAGCTTCGGAGGGCAACCAGCCGTCACCTGCCTCCACTCTGTCTTCCAAGTGAGTTGTTCAGCTCATCCACTCAGCCGTACAGCGCCGGCACTTGGCCCATCAGTGAGATAATGAGCTGGCCCTGACAGTCTAACACCTCATTCCTGTCTCATCCAGACTTGAGTTGAGGCATTCATCAACCTAAGAATGCCTGAATATGCAGCTCCTCAGGCTTGGTGATGATAGCAAACACAAAGAACTTGCAGCACTATCTGCTGTTCTTGCTAAGGAGACGAGCATATTGTCTATCTGCACTTATCAAGGGCAAATATTGTCTAGGTACCCGCGTGGTATTTATTTTAGTCTCATTTTGAATAAACAGAAGATTTATCTCTGCAGCCACACAGCCTCGTAACTATTCAGAGGAATACTTGTTTTATCAAATTAAATCTGAGCAGAAATGAACAACAAAGTTCATACCAAAGCAGAGTAAGTTTTGGTCTGCAGGTCCAAATTAACTGCAAAGTTTAGTCTACAAGTTTTTCATGGAATTTACAAAACACTGTTAATGCAAAAGAACACAGAGCTCCACCAGAGTCGAGTATAAAGGTCAAATGTTCTATGGCTGTATGTCCAGAACAGAGATATAGTCTGTGGCGTGTTGAGCCAAGCATAGCACAAACACAGGATGCATAGGGAAGCCACTGGCTTTGCTCTGCACTGTACACACAGATATGAGACATATCGATTGATCTGACTCTGAGTAAGATGGTGTCTTCAACAAAATGTTCTACCATTCCTTTTATATTCAAAATAATTCAGATGTGCCCCTATATGGCTGTGTGTGTAACCTTTGACCTCTGTTTGCATGCAGTCGCTCCGTGGAAATGAATGGCTACACGGCAGCCCTCAGGGACCAATACATCAACACCTCCATGTCCACACACTACCAGCTCCTGCCTCATCTGTTCAGCTATGCTGCCCAGTCAGGCCTGCTGGCCCCCCAGCCCCGCAGCATCTACCCACAGTCCCACCCCCTGGTGCTGCAGCTGGTGGCAGCTGAAGACCTGGCTCCACTGGCCACACCTATGCTCATAGAAGACGGGTGAGACAATGCAACACGAAACATGTACATTGTGTAAATTTCTTCCTAGCTCATAGAACGTTTAGGTTGCTCATCACATGTCTAGAGATTTAAAAAACCACACCAGCAGTTTATTTTTAAGTCTTATCCTTTTAACTACAAACTGTTAAAACAGACTTAAAAAAGTCAAAGTCAAGTTCGACATTGCAGTTTTCACATTATGTAGCTGTGTGAGAGTTTATTTTAAATTAAACTATATGCAGTCAAGTCATAAATGACCATGTGGCAGACCTCTGTCACAAAGATGGACAAACCCTAATGAACCCGAGTTAAGAGATTTTTCTAATTAACTTTTTACATCACAGGTAGTAGCTAATAAACAAGCAGCTCCTCATTTCCACTATGATGATGGCAAAATTAACTCATTTGTGTAGTAAAAGCATACATTTAGCATCAAATATGTAGTCAATCAGATTTCACATTAGCTTTGCACTGCAAGACGATAACTGTATCATGTATCAGTGAGTTCCCATCCTAATGCATTGGTGTCTTGTCCATCCCAGGTACAAAGTGACGCAGGTGGAGCTGTTTGCCCTGCTGTGTCGCCTGGCAGATGAGCTGCTCTTCCGTCAGATCTCCTGGATCAAGAAGCTGCCATTCTTCTGCGAGCTTTCCATAGAGGACTACACCTGCCTGCTTAGCTCCACCTGGCAGGAGCTCATCCTGCTCTCCTGCCTGACTATCTACAGTGCCCAGATCTTCGGAGACCTGGCTGACATCACTGCCAAGTATACACCGTCTGATGACGAGCTGCAGGGGTAAGTGCCAATGAGTTAAAGAGGGGATTTGTTTGGTGCTTCCCTTATCCTTTTTTATTACCCAAGTACATTGCAACTTGGGTCTTATATTTTGTGACTTATTTAATAGTAATTCTGTGTGAATGTGATGTTAAAATCATTCAGGCAAGAAAGCAAAAAAAAGCTTAGCAAACCTAATCTCAGTATGCCAAGATATAACCCTCCATTTTTAGTTTGTAACCATCAAGCAAAAAGCATAGGTAAAGTCTTACTTTACTGAAGGTTCAGGTTGAAGAGCCGTCAGGGAATTATCATCAAGCTGTTCACATATTTCCCTCAGGGAACACAGCGTGGGATAGAAACACAACTCCTAAAGAATGCTACCATTGCTTTGATCTGTTATCCAACATGTTCATGGTAACTTTATCATGAGCCATTATGGGGCCAAAAACCAGTTAAAGGTCCAGTGTGTAAGATTTAGGTGAAAGGGATCTATTGGCAGAAATGTAATGTAGAATAATCCTCATGATGTTTTCACTAGTTCACTCATCTAAATTGTATGAATTGTAGTTTTCTTTACCCCAGAAAAAGCCCTTTATATTTAAATACTTTATATTTACATGGAGGGGGTCCTCTATCTATTAGTCCAGACTGGACAAACTAAACACCTTTTGAGTTTTTATGAAAATTAAAGGCTACCACAGGTTCTTTTTCATTAAAGTTTCAACACTGTAACTTTAATGTTTCTTAAAACTTGATGTTAGACAGAGTAGCATCATATACCAGACAGACCAACACAACAATGAGGTCGCTACCCCCCCAAACCCCACACCTCCACATACACACACCCCCACTGCAGTTAAATTTGGCATCTGTGTGTACGTAGAAGAATGACTGCAGGCACTTCGCTCAGTCACCTGTGATAGTAATATCTCACCTAAAGTGTCTCATATTGTCTCCTCCCTCACGTTTGTGGATAAGGATAAGTTAGCAAAATTATGCTACTCAAAATTAAACTGATATATCCCGCCCCTCCAATTTGGCCGTCTTGTCAAAGCTGCGTCTTTATGAAAGTGCACTGTTGTATGTCGCTTCAGTCATTCGGAGTGAGAGCACATGGCAAAGGCAGGCTGGTTAGTGACAGACAGGTATGCCAGCCAATTATTTCATGCTGTCCGAATGAAATGATCAGTCAATTACAGTCCTGCAAGAGCCAAGGACACCAGCTTTTTTCTTTATGTATTGATAGTTATCAGGATGTGAAGAGGATTTCAACAAATAAGATGAAACGTTTCTCAGAAACAACTTACTAACTCCACTTTTAAGATTTTTTATATAATCCGTTGGAGCGAGGACAATTCCATATTTCATTAAGAGAAGTGGATATCAAGAATTAAATGTTCCCCTCTGCAACACACATGATGTTCTACTCTGTGAGCACAGTATCTCTAAAAGCGTTTGATATTTCCTTGAGACCAACAGGGAATGTATTGTTGTTGGATGAGGGCCAGTGAAGTGGTCCGTGAATGGGAGGACTCCTCAGGACAGAGCTGTGGCTAGCACCGTCTGGCATGTGAAATACATGCATGTCCCATTCTGGATAGAAAAGGATGAGTGGGGGCTTGGTTCTGTGTAAATCAGACCAGAATTATCTGACCTCATGACACACATTCTCCTAATATACTGCGCTGTTGTGCTGCTTCGGTCAATTTGCCTGTCGTTAAAGATAGTGGCTGATTCAAAGTGGCGGCACTAAAGTTTGTGAGTGAGATTAGAACTATGAGAAAAACAGGGGATTGAGGTTTGATGAGTGGAATTAAAGTTTGTGGGTTTTTCTAACTTTTTCAAAAAGCCGGGGGATCTGCCAGATGTTTTTTAAGCACTTCCAATAGATGTGACACATTCCCTCCCTCATTTTTGCCTGGTTCATTGAAGCATAGAAGATAATAGTGTTGAGGGGATTTTGCATTTTGTGATGAGCTACTCCACTTCACCACAGAGGATTTTGATGTGGACAGTAAACCATTTTATCTTCTGCTTTGTTTGGAGAATACGCAGTAGCTTTAAAATGACAGCTTTTTACTGTGTTTTTTTTCAGCGTAAATGACAAGTCTGTGTTTTATTCCACAGCTTCAGTGAGGATGGGATGGAAGTCATGGAGAGGTTGATATATCTGTTTCGTAAATTCCACCAATTGAAGATCAGTAATGAAGAGTATGCCTGTATGAAGGCTATCAACTTCCTCAACCAAGGTAACAACACAAGCTCTGTTCATACTGCACCCAAGCGCTTCTTGATCTGTAGTGTATTCCCTATGTGACTCCTATCATTTGTATCACTGCAGATATTAGAGGACTGTCCAACACCTCCCAGCTTGAGCAGCTGAACAAGCGCTACTGGTATGTGTGTCAGGACTACACTGAGTACAAGTACCCGCACCAGCCCAAACGCTTCCCTGAAATCATGATGTGTCTGCCGGAGATCCGCTGCATCGCAGGTAAGACCTCTGAGCCCCTGTGAAGATTCTCAGTCATCCAGAGTCATGGTATCATCAGGAGTTGTACAAGTACACATAGGCAACTGGACTTGCTTGTATTTTTTAAGATGTTACACCTCTCATCCAAATGTACCTCCTGTGTCTGGGTTTGTTTTGGTCATACCAAATCACCCTAGATGTATGAATTACATCTCAAGGGGCTTTTTGAAGTTCTCAGACACCAGGCACAAAGTCAGCTCAGATGGTATGAGAAGAAACCGAATGAGTACGTACTCTATGTACTCCAGCTTACACAAAGGACATCATCTCCCAATGTGATCCTTCTGTGTTCACACCTGTATGTAGAGCTGCACTCTTGTGATTGAAATCACCTGAGACACCAGGTCTTAACAGAGCCTGAGAGCTGTATAGTACAAAGGTTATGTGGAATATAATGGCCCAGTATTCTATTCTGTGCTGGTAACTTCAGAAATATATATATTTTTTCTCACTCCATTTGAACTTTTAGAGGGTTTTGGTAAATTCTTCCATCTATGCCGATGGAGGGGTGGATGAAGTCGAGAGGAAGTATCACAAAACACTTCTGGAGTCTCAGGGGTAAACAGTGTTACAGCCGAATGAAGAAACTGGTGACCTCTTCTTCAGGTGTAATAAAATAACAGAAAAACTTAAAATGCTTCCATACTTCTCTATGGTATCATCCAAGTGTCCGCAAGCCCAGACATTTATATTTGATTTGAAACGACATCATTTGCACCGTGTTTTTAGCCTAAATGGAATCTCTTAGCCTCTTCGGAGGCACGTTCATATACCCTCAGGCACATGGAACACCGCACACACTCTCGCCCAAGGGCTAACGCAGGGTGGGCAGTCGTGTGGCTACATCCGCTAGCTTCGCCTCTTCCGTTAGTGGACATTAAGGCTAAAATCTTGGTGTAAATGACCTTGTTTCGAGTCGAATATAAATGGCTTGCTGACACTTGGATGACACCACACGGGCAGTATGGAGGCATGTTGTGTTTTCTTCTGTTATTTTATTACATCTGAAGAAGGGGTCTCCTTTGCTGAAACACTGCTTATCCCTGAGACTCCTAAAGGGTTTTGTGGACTCAAACACTCCACCCTCCCCTGCATAGGGGTGTGTAGATAATGAGTGAATTTTCATTTTTCAGTGAACTATCCCTTTAAGTTACTGCTGAGGACACTCACCACTCCTTGTAGTGATGTTTCACACTGAAAACCTTCCTACAGCTTTAAGGCCATCATGCTATGCTGCTGTAATACTTAACTTTAGCAGAAACAACTGAAACTATCTATTGAATGAAGTTGTATATTATGATCTATTTACATCAGTTCTTGCCAGTCTCTGCTCAAGCTGGCAATTATTTTATTTTTGGAGCTATTTCAAATTATTTCCCAAATTCAAAGCATGCCATTGTTATCTAGCCTAAGCGTAGCTAAATATAAATCAAGTTGTTTTTGTTTACAGGGAAGCTGGTGAATGTCCCTCTGGAGCAGCTCCCGCTCTTGTTCAAAGCAGTCTTGCACTCCTGCAAATCCAGTCTGACCAGCTACAGGACCGGCCCGTTGCCCTGCGTGACCACCTCCGCCGGAAACTAGACCCCCGACCCACAGAGTCGAGGGATTGGTCTCCCCTCTTGTGAATGTGACAAGCAGCTAGTTTGTTTTTTGTAACTTTTTTCTTTATATATTTATTACATGACAGAGCTGAATGTATGCTGATTTACACTGTGCACATGCTTCTGTACAAAACAAATGCTCGTAGATGCATTGGTCTTTGGAGTTTACAAGTGTGTATCCAGTTTGCTCAATGTGTCGGTGTTGCCATTGTTAGAACTAGACTTTAAAAGAGTTTATTTTATTCAGACGGGGGCGGATAGACACGTGATGAGTGTTTTGAGACTACCTCAGGAAGATGTTATGATGTTATGTATTTTCAGGTACCTTTTTTTGCTGTTGAATATAGAGAGGCCCGGTCTAAAACCAAATTCCTGTGGATGCTTTGGCACCTCAATCAAAGACTGAATGTTCAAAAGAGCTGCATAAATCAAAGATTGAAATCCAGTCTTTAGTTACACTGAAAATGCAAAGTTAGTTAGAAAAACTGAGCTTTTTATCTGCATGGACTCTCAGACATTCTGCTAATGAGAGGTTGTCAAGTTAACATTCCATGAGTTAAGTGACAGTTGTTGATTCTGTGGGATCTTCATTGAAAAAGGAGCTTACGGGTATTTTTTACAATCATAGACTGGGGATATAAGGCTTTAATGCAGGGGAAGGAGGATATGTAGGTTTGCTGTTTTAGTTTTTATTGTTTTTCCTTTTTGACCAAAGTGTTATGCAATGCTTTTTTCAAGCACCCATTGATGGGTGGGGAGCTGATAGCTTCACAAAGAAAAAAGGTTTCTTATCAATGAAGGATCAGGATAAGAAATGAATCAATCTGTGTCAGAGGGGAGAACCCTTTGCTGGACAGATGAGTATGTTGCCGGATTTCATTCTAAATGCTACTAAACATGCTCACATTCTTATGCACACATACTATATGCATAGAGCAGACGTGATTCCCAGTCTTTGCCTCTCCCTTTGCTTCTTATGAGACGGCTCATTATTTGGGCTCTGTTTGCCTGTAGTGCCAGGAACTTGGTGCTTTTTCAACATATCTTAATTTAAGGTCCACAATACTGTTGTGTTGTGGGTTAAAGTGGTAGTCCATGTAATGCTGAGCTCTTCAATTCATTCAGAACACACCAAAATCATGAATCATAACTCTTGGTGTTCTAAATGGTGAGAGATGTTCACAGGTCAGTTGATGTATACTTGACCTAGCAGAACCAAACTAGAGCCAACAACAACTGGATTAAAATCAGAGAAGTCAAATGAACCAGATTCCATGAGAAGTGATTAACAGTGGGCATTCATTGCCTTTTATTTGAAGCTGGTGCCTTTCCAGCTTCAAACCATTTGGGAAGACCCCAAATTAAAAACCAACTGGTCCATTCAAAAGTTCTGTTGGCCAGGAACTTAAGACTGTTTTCAGGTCTTACCAGGTCCAATCAAAATTTTGCACAGACCTAAGACCAGTTGTAGTTTAAGTTAGACCTGACTCCAATCTAAAGGGGACTAATACGTGTGACCTGGTTCAGATTAGGTCTTCAGGGTTCAAAGGTTGTTCCCAAAACCAACACAGTCAATTTCTAGTTTATCAACAGCAAAAAACGTGCGGATTGTCACTTTAACCCAGACAAAAGTGTGTGATCTGGGCCTTGTCTCAATGAATTTAGGCTAGGTTTAGATAATTTAGGTGACCTCTGGCTTGCATATACCCTCTGTGACAGATATGCACACTGTTAAAAAAAAGCCATAGAAAATGGTCTTTATTTTTGAAGTATGAGATGATCATTTCAAACCACTTGAAGTGTCTTCTTGGTTTCTTCAAGTTTTAGCCATTTCACAACATATGAACAATTTTGAAATGCAGACACGATGCAGTTCTTGCAACGACTCTCTTTTTTGCACACGACGGTGAGGTGTGGAGACCTTGACCTTTCATCTCGGCCACTGCCCACCCAGTGTGTTCCTCTCTCTCAGGTCCCTGCTGACCTGGATTTAAACAGGGTAAAGTGAGTGTTATGTATTGCATTCAGGAGTTCCTCAGTGACCATGCTGATGTACTTGTAGTATTAGTAGACGTAGGTTCCAGGACATTGTAGGTCCTCTGTAGAAAAAGTGTTTTTCTTTTCCACTTTTTTTCCCCCAAGGTCCCCACTCCCCCTCATTCGGTGAAAGTGGATGTAGTTTTAAGGTGAGACATGCAGTGTGGATTTTTCTCTTGGCATTGATGATGGATGGAGTGAGAGTCTTTGGCATAATCAGAATGTCATGGCTTTTCTTGCCAGTTTCTATCTACTACTCTGTGTGCAGCCTTAACTCTAACACCAGTCAAATGCATTGATCCTTTTCAAATGTTTCAGTTAGCCTCTTTTCATCTTTTGATTTTTATACATTTTCATGTACCTTTGTAGTTATTGTGAATGTTTTGGGTTTTAGTTGCTTTTCACTTTTTTTCCGAGTGAAGACAGCCTCTCATTTTCAAATCTTTTTTTGACATGATTATTAATTACTCTTTCCCTTGTCCACAGTGGTTTATGAAAAAAAGTATTACTCAGGCGATGTCAGCTACATTTTATATTGACAATGCTGACAGTTTTTTATGCATTATTTGATCGTTTTACAATGTGATGTTTTGGACCCATTGTTGGTTTCAAACTTGAATTACACTCATTGTCTACTACTATTGTTCTCGGAGCAGCTGCGTCAGGTGCATAGACTAAATTATCTGTGTCCTTACAGTAAAATATAAATCATTCATCACACAGATTTCTATGGTTAAAGGGTCGTTTTACTTAAATTATAATAAACATACTAGAACATTTTCTCACTCACACCTAGGAATATGTCACCCTGGAGGTGGTTTTGATTTTATCAGCTGCAGTTTTGAGATATCTCTCTTTCCCTCCTTTACAATGGGAGCGGATAGCGTTTAGTTCGTGGTGCTCACATTATGAGAAAATTACATTTAAAAAAAACATGTCTATCCACAAAAAACAGTTCTGTAGTCCTAACTGTGATTTGGTTTTCATTGGAACTACTTTCTATCAAATAAATAGTCACTATGAAACCAGCATCAGTGTGAATAGTGTGGACAGACTTTTAAAAAATATATTTATAATGTACTTTTGTCAGTTCTGTAAGCCCCATGTGGATATTTTAAAACCTGGGCAAATACAACCAGAACTATATAGTGCCAGGTGAGAAAATGTGTTTATGCAAATTTGATGAACTAACCCTTTAATTCACATGTTCTCAGGGATAGATTTTTTTATGTAACCGAAATCTGAGTGATGTGATGCATCATGTTAAAGGAAAAATCCCCCTAAAATGCTTTACAATGGAGTTTGATGAGGGAAATTCCAAACATTTGGAGTACAAGTGTTATCTGTCAGGTTTGGTGTAAGAATGTGAAGACCAAGGACTGCCATTTTTGCACTGATGTTCAACAGTCCCACCGATCTGTACAGAAACAGTCAGGGAAATGTAGAGCCCGGCTAACTGTGTAGCAGAAGTACCCAAGACAATTTTCAGGGTGGCCAAGAACAAAGTCCCCTCATGTCAGAGTAACTCCAGGAATGTAGTGAACATCACAGACTGCTGAGATCTGACGGTGGAAGAGGATCTGAAGTGGGATTTTTCCTTTAATGTAGCAGCAAATGCTAATCAAAGTTTAAATAAATATATCCACAGTTACCTTACTGCCACTGCTCTGACTTCCTAACTAGCATATTTTGATACACATATGCTGATGAAAGTGTTCTTTTTATTTGTATTTGTATTTTTTTTTTTGCAGACAAGGGATGTCATTTGCAATTTCTGTACTGAAACTACCTCTTTATTTGTCATCATGTTACTTTCAAATAAGTGATTTTTTTGTCTTATTTATTGGTTTCATTGCACCAATGTTCAGTTATTATGTGTCTCTTATTTCACTCAGTGACCTCTCAGCTTTAGAACACGTGCTGATGCCTGTTTTCTTTCTCACTTTTCTAATGCGTAAACACATTGCCTCATTTTCCTTTCTATCTCAGACTCATCTGCTGTCAGTAGCTTTTTTTTTTCTCTCTGATCTTTGACTTTTTTCATGTTAAATTAGCGTCATCTTTTGTTTCACTCCTGCCCTGTTATCCATACCAAAGATGAAAGAATGTCAATGACAATGTCAGCGTACTGATTAGGCATTCACGTGATGCATTCTTACTGCAGTTAACTAGTGCTTTATTTTCCCGTGCTGACCTTTTTGGCGTCTTGTTATCCTGTGAATGGCTGTATGTTGTTTACACTATTCACCACATCGTGATATTACAGTGTGTCTGGTTTTTTTCTGTAGTCCTATGATTGTTGTTCATTGACAAGTCCTTTCAAGGTAACAAGGAGTGATAACAATGGGACTGCTATCATATGTTTGTCAATGCTGCTCGTGATCAATTATCAATCGGAGAAAGTAATTGTGGTCAAACTGACATCTCCTCCTGTTTACATGCCTTCACTTGCTCATGTCACCCTGATGCAGTGGCACGCGACCACAGGCAGTGCAGTGCAGTGCAGTGTTATCACCAGGGTTGGACTTGTATCACTTTCGAATAGAAGCTGCCAGCCTTATTTGCTGATATGAACGTCATGACAAACCTATGATATGGGAACTCTTTTGAACAGTTCTGCCTTCAGAGTTACATATTGGCATTTTTTTTGCATCATTCCTGTAACTTTTAGAACTGGAACCGAGATCATATCCAAGCAATGTGAAAACCATGTTAAATGTCCATTATATCCTGAGGAAATAGTTTGCAATTGACCTGTCACACTGTTGGCTTATTTCAAAATAATACATTTTTTCAGTCTAGTCGTCCAACAGTTCACATTGCTTGTGTTGGGCTCCAGTTGCAATTGTCTAAAGGTGCTGCCACTTGATATTCAATGTCATATTAGCTGTAGGAATATCCATTTAAAAACTATAGACAAGAAAGGTTAAGCCAGATTTTGCACAGTTTTTTGCAGCTGTGGTCAGGAAAGAACAACTTTGAAAAGTCAGTACAGGCAAACAACACAAATGTGTTGAGCCTCAGTGCTGTAGCACTGTGGGAACTTTGTTTTTCAGGAGCACATGATGATAATGAGAAGAGTTGAAGTGAAAGAGAATAAAAATCTTGACATATCTCAGGGAAGAAATAGATTTACACACTGTCATCACCTGTGATCAGACAATTGAAACGCCTTTATGTTTTTCTCTCCAGAAATCTCTTGTCTGCTCTTGTTACTTTAACTACCTGTGAAGAATGTGATCATTACGTGTTAAAAGCATGTTTAGAATGTGTTAGGACTTGAAACCAAATAAATGTGAACGTTATGCAAGTGTACACACTGTTCTACATTTTCTTTGACGGAGTAACACTGGACTACTGTTCCTCCAGAGCTGCTTCTGAGGCCTGTTCTCTTTGTTTATGTCGTTCTATAATAGATTCATTTTAATGATCGAGATCACCCTGATACGTACTTGGGAATTGATTTTCCCCTCGACGATGTGGAGCTTGCAGGTCCAGATTAGCAGGATGAATAGATACAGTTCCAAATCATCCATCTATAGAATTTCTGAGACTGTGGGTGGATAAATATCTAAACTTTCCATCTATAGAAATAATTAATTCTTGACCCAAAGTTCCGGAGATCCTTTTTGTAAGGCAAGGTAAATATCAGCGGGGGATTTTTCTGAATAACAGAATGTTCATCAGAATATGTGAATGTTTTTTCTTTTATAAGTCGAAGCAGCTCCTACCACATACCACCTATCATGGTTACAATGACATCGTGCAAACTCCTGACACCAATTGACCTATGCTTATGTCGTAAGCTGAGGGGTTCACATACTCTTTCCAACTGACCATGTGAATGTTTGATTGATGCATTCAGTGCAGACAAGAACAATACAATAATTTGTGTCATTAGTTCAAATTCAATGTGTTTGTTCAAATGAAGATCTGACCATGTTTTAAGACAAATTTATACATGAGTGCAGGCTCTTTCAAAGGGTTACGTTAGGGATCTGTTCTATTCACTGAGTAGTACTGAGCTTATTAAGGGATAACAAGGCAGAGGGTATAGAGCTGAAAGCTGTGTGGAATGGAGTTTGGATGTACTCGTCCCTGACCTGCTGCTCAGCGCACACCAGTGTTTTTCACAGGGAGATACTATCAATAAAATAAGCATAAACGTGTGTTTCAGCCCGTTTTTAAGTCTACACATTTACAGCATGTCATGGCAACAAAAGATCTTTTCATCTTGATTGGTCAATGCCCAGAAATGTTTTATGTACAGTCCACAAGTATGGCTGCTGTCATTTTATAAAATCACATACTGTATTCATTAATGTCGCTGTATGTTTGCATATAACAATCAGATCTTTAATGTTTTTCTTTGCAGATGTTTTCTTAAATTCATATTTGCATGAGGACACATGGAGTAGGACAGTAGTTCATAGACAAACTCTCCTAGCGTGATTTAGACAGATTCTAAAGCTCAGTGGCTTCTGATGCTTTAATCAAAGCGTTTCCATTTTCTAAAGTTTACCACAAGCTTGAACTGTGGATGTGAACCCTGGTTTATGATATCACAGATCAGCTCAACAAGACCACTGCCCACTACGACTTCTGCCCTACAACACCAGAGCTGTACATGTATATAGTGCCTTATTAGTGCAAAGACATTTTGCCTGTAAACATTAGCAGGCAGCAGAACATTTTAAGTAGTCATGTATATATGTGATTTCCAGGAGGCAGGGTTCATTCAGTAATGTGTGTGTGTGTGTGTTTGTGTAGTGGGGGGACACTGCCTAAGTCTCCACCACACACACACACACACACCTAGATTATCTTGTCAGTGAGTGATGGTTGTCAGCGGCTGCTGATTGCATCATGAGTGCAGACCAGGCCAGAGATCCAGGAGGCATCACTTTATCTCCTCAAGGTTGACTGAGTGGCTTTTGACAGGCCGTCCTAACCCCCCTTAAAAAAAGGCTGTAATCAGTTCAGAACCAGTCAAGGCTGCGGATCCCCCTGGGCACAACAACACAGCTGAAGGGCCGGGTTGGGGCTGGGGGGGCTCAGAGGATGGATTTCGTACAGAGTGCAGGACCTGAGCTTCACTATCTGCCGGGAGATCACATCTCACTGGAGAGGAGACATGTTATTATCAGTGTGAAGGGTGTTTATTCGCCTGATGTGTTGGTGTTTCTGGTCTCACCTTGGCATGCAGCATCGGACACTGCCCTTCACAAATGCTAACCACTGTGATTGTGTTATCTGTACCAAAAGTCCGACATCCTCTTTTTCTTTGATAAAACACGTAGATGTTTCACACAAAGTGATAATATTGAGCACACAGAAGGGGACCACACACCTATATGACTGAACAGAACAAGGGGAGTCCTGAATGTGGGCTCATGCAGTAGCATGCCAACTAACAACACAACTGCCCAGGTTGTGCAGTTACACAACACATTTGTTTTAAGTCAATTAACCACAATAATAATAGCAATGCCACAATTTTAATGATCACCATAGTGTATACCAGGCATTATTAAATACTTTCTTTCCTTCTTTCTTTCTTTCTCAAAGCATACAGTGAGTGTTCATGTTGGTCTTACTAGCAGAAGTCAGTAGGTCCACTTCAGTTCAGTGCATAATCAAAATCAGCCTGCAGACAGGGTGCAGGTGACTTCAGTATAGGTAATCAGTCACTGCTGTCTATTGCTGTCAGAACTGTGTCAGTGTTGTTGGATTACTAGAGCTGTAGAGTGTAGTCCCAGGCTCACAAAGTTAAAGCAACCACATGAGCTGATCTCCCCGAGTGGTGACCGAGTGAGCTCTATACATCTAATGCTATTTATGCTACCTGGCTACTAATACGTAACAAGAGGTACCACGCCACACGCCACCACAGCATCCACCCATCTTATTCAGTTCATGCTCGGGATGATGCTAACTCATTTGGCTGCTGCTACAGCAAGTCTTTCAAGTTAAACAACTCGGTCATTTGTCCCTACTATTGTCATCATGGTTACAGAAAGAGATAGATACTCAATACATCTAATATAAATTGTCAAAATACACCGAACTCTTGGTGGCAATATGCTGCTGAACTGATGATCTGTGGCCGTGCTCCTTACAAGCTGATTCATATGACTGTTACTGATGAGCAGATGAGCGGCCTGTTTATTTAACAAACTGATTGGCATGCTGTTACATTGCTTTTGTTCTTAACATCCAATGGCGAGGAGAAAGCTGCTTAAAATCTAAACATAAAGAAGACTTGTATTCGCCAGAATACCGTGATACAGGCCAGCCATTTGGTGCTTTCGTGATGTTTCCACTCTGTAGAACCACAGTGTAAATACTATTGCTTGTTATTGAAACGAATGACCTTGTCTCAGTTAAGGAAGTGTACCGCGTCACTTGTGTCTCAGTCAGGGAACAGCTCTGACATCAAATCGGTGAATTGTCCAAACACACAGAGTTGATTCAGGCGATTAAATTGTTGAAGAATATTTTGTTCTGCATAATGAAAAGACACTACAATGTGCTTGTGTCAGTTAAAAAAGATGTCTTTTTTATTTTACCTTGGTTAAGCTGAATGTAATTTTCAAGGCCTGTACCAGTTCAGTTGAAGCTGTGGTTTTGATTCATGCGTCCAAAATCTTATGTAAACCTTGAAATGTTTTGCTGTAAACAGTCATGGTCAATTGTCTACCACCTGTCTAGCACCGCTAATTCAGCCTGACAGTTTCCATATGGCCGTGTGTGTATTAACTCAAATAATAAAGAGTAGCTGTGTCCAGACTGCAGATGAAACATTGAGTGCAGTGTGAGGATTGAGCCCCCTCCCTGCCGCACACACACATTGGTCTGGTTTTGACCCACAGTAGTTACGTCAGTCAGGACACATGTCAAGGCTGGAACTGGCTGTGCAGCTCTTCCACTTTGGCTTCTCCTGGCTCGTGTTAGCGGAGCGTGCGCTTCACCACGTTCCTGAAGCGTGGCTACACCAGGTGTGGTCCTCCTCCCTATGCATACCCCCAGCCTCCTCCACTCCTGCCCCCTCCCCTCTCCCTCTCATCTTGTTCCCCTTGACCCTGACACAGTGCGACCTAGACGCTGATAATGAAACAACAGCCCCGCCATTCCTCACCCCTTGCCAACTGACACACTTCCAGAGAGGGATAACCTTGTTCCCTAACATTTCTCTGACGCCTCCGCTGTAATTTCCTCTGTGCTCCTGAAAGTGCTCTGTCCCTCCTCCTCTTAACGCCTCGCTCCAAACACTTTTAATGACCATTTCATGACATAGCCAGAAATCAATGACCATTTTGCAATTATCAAAAGTTAATATATCACAGTGATCTTGCCTATCCAGCCTTCTATCTGCCTTTTCACCAACCATTCAGTTTAAACAAAAATAGGGAGCGTCACCATCATCATCACCATCATTATTATTATTATTATTACTATGTGGGCAGCATTATGGCACAGTGATTAGCTCTGTTGTCTCACAGCAATAAGGTTCCTGGTTCAGGTCTCTCTGAGTGGAGTTTGCATGTTCTTCCCATTCCTGAATGGGTTTTCTTCAGACACTTCCTCCCACAGTCCAAACAAATGCAGACCGGCTTTAGGTCTATTTGAGACTCTCGAAGACAGTAAGTGTGAATATGAGCATGAAGGGTTGTCTCTGTATGTTGGCCCTGTGATACACAATAGACCTATCAATGGAGCCCCACTTAACTTCACAAAGAGGGAAAAATAAGAAAAAAAACAACTAAACAATCTCAATCAAAGAGACAAATGAAACACTACCACAACATTCAAAATCAAAATTACAGACAAAAAGTGAAATAGCTTATAAAACAGCTAAAGTAATGATGAAAGGAAAGCATAACCCTGCTTTGACAGCAAAGGCCCTGTCGTCAGGTCTTCAGGCTCGACCCGGAAATAGCCAACAGGACCTCGTCTGAAGATCTGAAGATATGGGCTGGTGAGGACTGATGTAGAAGCTCTGCCAAGTAATATAATGATAAAGAAATGCAGCTCAAAGTGCTTTACATACAATACAGATGAAAATATAAACATGTCAAAATTACAAACAAATAGTAACTTATTGTCAAACCATTCAGGACCTGAAAAGCTGTGGTGCAGAAAAAATATGGTGGACTCAACTTTACATTTGGATGAGAACAATACAGCAGTAGAGAACGTGTGCCTCAATCCAAAATCTAAAAGTACAGATAAAGAGGAAGTGTGGCATCAGCCTCAATCTCAACTGGTCGTTACCAAAGATGTATTGTTGCATGTAGCCTGAGATGCTAAGCTGA